ATATATATATATATATATATATATATATATATATATATATATATATATATATATATATACACATATATACACATATATATTTGTATATATATATTTCTTTCCAGCCTGTTCTCGTGAATTTTAGAATTTCTGCCTTAGAGTATTGAAGATACAAAAACTACGATAGAAAACAGAACAGACTTCGAATACTTATTTCTTCTTCTTCATTATCATCGCCATCTTTCGCTTGCTCGCGTTCCTTTTTTTGTTCTTAAATTTCCACATTCAACATCAACGTCGTTTATTACTATATCATTTAACCTTACCGCTTATCGTTTGTTAGTTTTTATTGTTATCATTAGCGTCGCTCTTACACGTGTATATGTATGTATATATGTATATGCGTGTACGTTAAATTCATTCAAGCTTACCAGATAGTCACCGCTTACTCGTACCGCTCGCTAACAGTAGCGTTCTCCAGCGCTCGTATATTTTCTTATCATCCCTTTCGGCTTTGCCCTTAAATCTTGTTGTTTATGATACAGATTGTCATGTTCGGCGCCTCGTCGCCGGCGAAACTGCTTCGTCTCCGTCACGGACGTGTCATCGCACTCTGGACGAAGGACGTTCGTCCCTGTTTGCTGGCGTTCCTCGGCTTGGCACGGCTGCAACGTGGCCATGAACGACCAGACTACTTTCAGCGATCGAACGACCGCGCCATTCGCTAATTATCCGCCTCGTCTAATCGACACTAATGCCCAAAGCCTCATTCTTCGCTCGATGAGTTCACCGTTATTCCTAGAACGATATGAAATTTGTGCATTTCCTCCTCCCAGCGTCGAAGATCGATGGAACTTCCGGAACGATCGAAGATCGACGATCTCCGCCATTTGACTCCGCGAGGAAAGACCGCTTCTCGAGCGTTCCCGCGGGAGATCAGTCCGAGGGAGACCGGGAACGATTTCTATTATGAGCTAGACATTTTCTACGCCGCACGATAGACGTGAAAGCTGATCACAATAACGATCAAGAAGCTTCGTCAGGCATCGTTGACTTTGTTCTCTGATAAACAGCCGCCGAGAACTACGTTCGCTTCGACACGGGGCAATTAATCGGCTCAATTGCTCGCTCCAAAGGTGTCCTCCGTTGATCAAAGAGCTGGGACCAACGGGCGATCGACAAAATATCCTCTTTTTCCGTTTGGAACACGAGTTCCAAAGAATCTACTTCTCAGGTACTTATTGGTTCATCTCCCATTTGCCAAATCATTTAGATCCCGCAGTCGAAGCTCTCCTGATTCTGCACGTTCTTCTCGTACGTTTTCAAATAGGTGTCCACATTCTTGTATATCCCGGTGTTCGCCTGGTACATCAGCGTCTCGAGGATCCTCTCGTTCTTGATCGCGTGTGACGGCAGGACGATCTGGAAAATATTTTAAACGTCAGTATTCGTTCCTATAAATGAAAGTGTTACTTTGTAATTACAAATTCCGAGCAAATCTTGTAAATGAAAACAGTTCGGATAGTAGAACGGTTACTTGCGTACACTGATCGTATTTTCAACAAATAACGACGCGGATTGCCTTCGAATGATCTTTGTGCATAATGAATAGACTGTGAATTTTATGATTTTATAACAAGAACGAGTAGATCGAACGACGAATGCTTGTAGAAAACAATTTAAGTAACAAAATTGAAAAATTTTGTTTCTTTTTTTAAATGTTCTATGTGGTAGTTTTAAATGTTCTAATATGGTAGTATACCATTTAGAGTGCAATATCTTTTTATAAGTAGTTATAAATAATGCTAATAGGTGGCATTGCCTGTGTCCAGCGTCGCTTTCGTAGATACGGATTTCAGCAATATATGAACTGTTTCGAGAAGATTCGCGCATCCTCACCCTAATCAGCTCCTGCGGCGATATCCTGTAGAGCTTGAGATCCTTGCTGAGCCTCTCCATAATGCACTTGAACTCCATCTTCTCGTCGACGATCTTCGTCTTGGTCTTGATCCTGTTGTTCGCCCAGTTAAGCATCGCCTCGAACTTGACGATCTCTTCCACGTCGAGGTCCCTGCCCATGATCATCTGTACCATTGCCTCGCTCAGCGTGAGAAATCCTTCGTTCTTGAACAACTGGGACGATCTGGTCTCGATGAACGTCAGGATCATGTTGACCAGGTTCATGGCGGACGAGTACCGCCAGCAGTATTTCTCCAGGGTGCAGAGCATCACGCAGACAACGTCGATGCGCAGGAACTGTTTCGCGTGATGGAAACACGCGTCCTGAAGTTCCGACAGTTCGTAGTGTTCCGCAGCGCAGGCCAGACCGCAAATGTTGCTGCAGGTCAGCGAGCAGGAGCCTGTATGCAGGTAATCCAGCAGGATCCTGAAAGTTTCTGGATCGAAGTCGTGGATGTCGAACTGGAACGCAAAGGCAGCATTTATTTTTTAGGTTTACGACGGTGCGAAATATTTAGTAATCTGAGTAAGAATTATTGGACCGAGTTTCTATTTTCGTTTCTCATGTTTATGTCAATAACAAAATATTTCATAATATGTGGATTAACAGAGAAATAGTTTCTGCCGCAATAAATCCAATTCGTTTCGTTCTTACCTCCGTTTGTGCTAGTTTCGCTCTGTCCACCTTCTCCGCATCCGCGAACACGCTGAGCCTTGGCACCGCTAGCTGCTGAGCATGTTTCTCCTTTTCTTTTGCTTCCTTGTCTGCAATGAAAGAAGTGAACGTTGAAATTATGCGGACTATATGGTTACAAAACTATTGCATACTTATTCTACAGGGTTTACTCGTAGTTATTGAAATATTCGCTCAAGTTAAACACTGCTATGCGTTCTTACATCTTGTTTATGTTTTTGGTACCTCCGATGCATGCGCTCACTTTGCTAACAATGCACAAAATGCACACGCTTCAACATTCTGTACGTATAAATTTATGTTGAGTCAGCGCTATGTTTTATGAACAATAGCTCTTCAGCGTAGTTGAAACAATAATGGATGATCGTTATGTCACTTTATATCTTCGTTTCGTTTACTCGCTCGCAACAGTATTAACGCTAATCCTACCAGTGCCAGTCTTTTCGACCGGTTTCGCAGTTTTTATTTCAGAATTCTTGGATTCATAAAAGCTCTTTCATGGGAAATGACTCAATGCATTTCTTACTATAAGCATACATTGTATTTAAAATGGCAAAGAGTATAAATTAATACAGTCTTGTGATTTTTATAAAACAACAAACTGTGTGTTACTGTTTGTAGTCGGTAGGTTCAATGATAATAGAGTATTAGATTGTTATAGAAAGAAAATATTCACAAAAATATAATTATTACTAGACTGCTGATTTGATGCATTTATGGCAAAATTGAATAATTGCAGTTTAAAGTAGAATAATTAAGACAATCATAAAAAGATGTCAATGTATTCTTTTCAATTGATTAAAATTATTCCTGGAAGAAACAACTTGCTATTTGGTTTCTCTTTATGGCAATTGATGCAAAACATTTTTTTATTCTGCATAAAAAACCGCGATCTATATATTACTAAAAACACACTCAGAAGAACTTAATAAAGATGTAAACTATTAAGTAGACCCGATGAACCAGCGGGGTTGACATTTAATTTTAGCGAGAACGACGACTTCATTATTATATGTAGATATCGAACGTCGAGTATGAAATATCGAACTAATTAGCTGGCGAACGTACTGCTGCAATCCTGGGAGCTGGCCCAGCGTTTCCGATCCTCGCTTTGCAGAGTGTTGCCGCTTCTATGCTTCCGGATGCTTCTTCCCCAGCCGGCGGTGAGCGTTTCCAGCCTCGAGAAATAGCGCTTCACAATCGGCGAGGACGGCACACTTTTAGGTCTAAACAGGTCAGAGCCAGTATCTCACAGAAACCGCAGAGCGGCACCTCAAGGTACGGAGAGGGAGAGTTTCAGGAGGTTCTTCGGCCGATTGAGAGGACCATCGAGGGGTAGGTAGTTACGGAGTGGGTACTTAATTTCGGAGCGTATCGATCTAGATACGAGAAATTACGAGACAACGACGAAAGCTCGTTTCCCGCGGAAGAATAGATACGTGCTATAAGAATACGGTAGCTTCAGAAAGTCTGCGTACACTGATTCCCCGATCTTCGACGAGTTGTTGATATTTGAATTGTTATAACATCGCCAAAACGAATCCTACAATAATAAACCTACGCTCGCTTTAAAGCTCCGAGTCTTTCATGAATCGTCGATCATTTCCTCTAACCTTCAGTCGCGTGCATATTCAAATAAAAACAAAAAAAAAAGAAACTATATTTGTATATTTCTATGTTCTACTATTTCTAATATAGAAACATATAAATGTGTTGTTTCGTTCAGTTTTTGTTTAAATATGATAAAAAATGTAAAAGTTACTTTGAGTCTATAATTATTCACACTACTATACCTTTATATGATATAGCAAAATTGAAAAAAATCAGAGGTGATACAAATTGAAACGTCTGAAAAAACATTAGAAATTTTTTCTTACAGATCAATCTACAATAGATTTGAAGATGGACGTTTCTCCTTTACATCGACTATCTAAAACTTGGTGTACTATTTTTTTTAGTCGTTTTATGAAAGAGAAACGAGTTACAAATTCTGTCGTGCAAAGCTCGGAAGAAATAGACAGTACATCTTCCATTCGAAGCTGAATAAAGTGAATAAAAAAAAATCGTACGCCATGTTTTGAAGAGTCGTTGCAAAGTGGAAGCTCCAATCTTCAAATCTATTATAGATTTATCCATGAAATCAATTTTCTGGTGCATTTACAGTCGTTTCAATCCATAAGATGTTGAAGGGAGAACATATCTCCAGTTTCCCACTTACTACAATGTGTAAAAACGTGTCACAAGAAAATGAACGATGAATAGTAAAGTAGAAACTTCAAACTTTAAAATGAGTCCAAGTTTATCGGTATATGATCCTTTTCTTCAAAATTATAACAGGTTGAATATCAACAATTTGTCGAAAATCGAAAAGTGTGCGGAGATTTTCAGGAGCCACTGTATATATACAGGTTGTCTCACCTGAAATCACCATTTTGATTTTTGTCATTATAATTAGTATTAATTAGTTGCAGTGAGGAATACTTGGATGGAGCTATAATAATTTTCAGATGTGCGTATCCTGACATTATTAATTTTTTGACGGATGTGTCAAATATTTATGAAATCCAACTTTGATCATTGACGTGAAATTATATATTTTCTAAGATCATAACAATATTGTTCAAGAACAATGATGGTTTCTTAGCAACTAATGATTCTAAAAGCATATATTACTTTCTTGGAAAGATTAAGATTCACGGGCCCTTTACGCAATTAAAAAAAAAAGCTAACGACGCTAGAATTTGTACTTCTGGAGAACATGTAAATTGCATTCGAACATTCCTCGTTACGACTAATAATAATGACGATGAAAGTCAAGGGTGGTGATTTTAGACGAGACAGCCTGTAATATCGAACCGAACCGGAGCCGATGATCGCCGACGGCTCAATTTTCAATGAAATTTTGCTTCGAGTTAGCTGCGCAGATCGTTGCATGCCGGTTGCTCGGTTTGAGAAGGTAATTCGATGCAACTACAGTACCCAGCCACTTCAGGGACCTTTCCGAGAGAGATAATGCACCATGCGACACCACTCGATCCGTCTCCGTGTACATACAAACGCGTGCGAAATTAAAGGAGCACTAAACTTCCATCGAAACATCGCCGATCTTAGAGTCGCTGCAGCTCCGTTAAAAATAATTATACATAAATCTATCTCGGTTCACCCTAAATCGCGAAATCTCTATTTTTACACCTCTGAAGTTTATTTTTTTCCAAGATCGCGTTTTGTTGCAGAACAGTAACCTGTGAAGTATGAACGTTTCTCCGTTCTTTTAAGTCGGAACACATTTTTTTGTTCTCTTGTCATCAATATTTAAGTTTCCGAATAAACGTTAACGCTCAATAAATATAAATTTTCTTTTTCTGCGAAGAACATCGTGGAAATTCAAGTCATTGTAACTGTAAAGAAAATGGTATGCCTTGTTTGAGAAAAATTCAATCTCGCCAAAGATATTTTTTTATCCGAGATATTCAAAGAATGCAGGTCAGTGCATCCGAGGTAAAGGAATTTTAAATATTGCAACGAAAACAGGTCGCATAAGATATTCAAAATTGTGGAGCTCGAAGAAAATTATATTTTACATTGTTATATTTTATAAAGCCCATGAATTATATATGAGTTCTAGGAGAGAAAATATGCAAATTTTTAAATAGAATGACAGCGTACCGTACTTGCGAAACGAGAGAAGACGTGAAGTTTCTGCAATCGAATCGGGAGGAAAATGCGCAACGATTAGTCGTCCTGGTAAAGAGTAAATTAATCGTCTAAACGTTACAACGATATGATTATTGTTGTCTACAGTCCTGTATCAATCAGTGAAAACAAACGAACCTCTCTCTCATTTACAAATCTTACGATTAACGATAAGTAAACCAGCAATTTTCCAGTTCTTTTCGCAAAAAATATCTATAAAGCTCGCTAAAATATTTGCCGAGGACTCGTAACACCATGTCCACAGTTTTCCGGGAAGCGATCCGGAAACTTCATACTTCTCTTTTCCGTCCGCATTACCTTCTCAAGTTACAGCGACAAAAATAGAGAAGATCCGTGTGATAGAGGCCATTCGATAGAGCAGTAAGGCACACGTGAGAGAAGAACGACGCCAGCCGCGAGAAAATGAACGTACGTTTAATTATAAAAGAAAATCTGAAATCGACACCTCGCGCGATCTCGCTCGAAGTCTCAGGATTAGATTAGCACGGCTGGCGGTAATTCTCGATCATCGAACATTGCCCTATGGTTCTCTTTTCGATGTTATATTTGACGGTTCGAATAATTCATAAAGAAAGAAATATAAACATGCCACATGACAGTCACAATAACGAATTATAAGATATGCCGAATTGCAGACCTCGATCGCATTGTTGCATCGCATTGTTGCATCGCGTTGTTGCATCGCGTTGTTGCATCGCGTTGTTGCATCGCATTATTGCATCGCAGAGAAAAAATTACGAGAGCTCGATTGGCAGCCGATAGAATTTAAAGATTCCTCTGATCAGTGTGAAAATAGTTGTCATGCGGTGCTGTGAGGATAGGAGACATGGAAGTGCCGTGAAAAAATACACACAATTGCAATTAGATAAATATTCAAATATATGTATATATACAATATATAATATGTATATGTATACAACACGAAAGTACATTCGATAACGACACCGCAGGCATCAAATCCCTCACCGTTCAAGCAAGTTCCAACACTCTTATCGCTGTTATTCCTGGTTTATCCTTTTAACCCATTTTTCGCTCATTCGAGTAAAGAGACACGAAAACTATGTACGATACAGGGTGTCCCATTTTACTCTCTCAGGGCAAATATCACGAACAGTACGAACGATATGAAAGAATGTTTCAAGCACAAATTATATGATTCAGAGAGAGTCATAGGTCAAACAAACAGTATATACAGTAACGTCTCTCTAATTAACGACCAGATTGACCACAAAAATGGACAATTTGGGAAGAGGAGATACGATTATTCGAGCCTTACGGTTTATTTTTATAGTTATAAATTGCCCACAATTATAAAAACGAGCCGCGAGGCTCGAATAATCGTATCTCCTCTNAGAGAAGAACGACGCCAGCCGCGAGAAAATGAACGTACGTTTAATTATAAAAGAAAATCTGAAATCGACACCTCGCGCGATCTCGCTCGAAGTCTCAGGATTAGATTAGCACGGCTGGCGGTAATTCTCGATCATCGAACATTGCCCTATGGTTCTCTTTTCGATGTTATATTTGACGGTTCGAATAATTCATAAAGAAAGAAATATAAACATGCCACATGACAGTCACAATAACGAATTATAAGATATGCCGAATTGCAGACCTCGATCGCATTGTTGCATCGCATTGTTGCATCGCGTTGTTGCATCGCGTTGTTGCATCGCGTTGTTGCATCGCATTATTGCATCGCAGAGAAAAAATTACGAGAGCTCGATTGGCAGCCGATAGAATTTAAAGATTCCTCTGATCAGTGTGAAAATAGTTGTCATGCGGTGCTGTGAGGATAGGAGACATGGAAGTGCCGTGAAAAAATACACACAATTGCAATTAGATAAATATTCAAATATATGTATATATACAATATATAATATGTATATGTATACAACACGAAAGTACATTCGATAACGACACCGCAGGCATCAAATCCCTCACCGTTCAAGCAAGTTCCAACACTCTTATCGCTGTTATTCCTGGTTTATCCTTTTAACCCATTTTTCGCTCATTCGAGTAAAGAGACACGAAAACTATGTACGATACAGGGTGTCCCATTTTACTCTCTCAGGGCAAATATCACGAACAGTACGAACGATATGAAAGAATGTTTCAAGCACAAATTATATGATTCAGAGAGAGTCATAGGTCAAACAAACAGTATATACAGTAACGTCTCTCTAATTAACGACCAGATTGACCACAAAAATGGACAATTTGGGAAGAGGAGATACGATTATTCGAGCCTTACGGTTTATTTTTATAGTTATAAATTGCCCACAATTATAAAAACGAGCCGCGAGGCTCGAATAATCGTATCTCCTCTTCCCAAATTATCCATTTCAGTGGACAATCTGAGCGTCAATAAGGGAGACATTACTGTACGCAGTTTTTTGTAAGACCAAGAAAATGGAATAATTTTTAATCATAAAAGAAGTATAAATTTTGCTCGCATAAGTAGTATAAGCCTATCAGTAGAGAAGACAGTAGAACAGAACAATCAAAGATCGGACAAACGATATAAATTTAATCTCTGATTAATCGAAAAAAAATGGGGCAATTTCTGGTCACGATGGACAAAGAAATCTTTATTAAACCAGTAGTCTGAGCTTGCCAATGGGCAGGGCAATATAATAGGTGATCAATCGGTCAGGCAAGTTGCAAGGGACAGCCATTAATCAGGCAAGTAGTACATATCAGTGTATAATACAGGGCCGTGTCTACTCGGACAAGTAGAATAGGATTTCCAGACACATACAATGGACAAAAATTTCAAATTTTTTAACCAATACCAATGTTGCGTTTAGCACTCGAAAGGATCGTTAATTTGATAACGGTATAAGGTCACACACAAAATTCTCATTAACCAGAAAACTAAAGGGATTATATAATTTCTAACTACATTCGATATTAAAATACACGAAGGATGACATGTAAGTGTGACCAATAGGGGTACGGAACAGAAAGTTCGTGGCCAAAAATGGGTTAACGTGTCGTTGCATTTCGAAACAAATTTTCCCGTCAAGGATTTCGGTTCGTGCTGTGTTTCCCTCGTGACTCGAATCATAAAAGTTTCCGAATAATAAAACTATTCAATTATTAATATAAAAGTGATTGTAGAGATACGTACCTGGGCGTTTCCATGTCGGGAACTTGAAGGAAGTTCGAACTTCGCGGTTTCTGCGGGCTGAGCAAGGTGGGCGCTGGCCTGGCTAGCAATTCAGCGATTGGAACCTGAGGACTGCCGAAACGGGCCCGAGTTCCATACAGCATTTGTTGAAACACTCTGAAAAGACCATAATCCGTCACATCTGCTAATTCAGTACTATCAAAATGTCAGTAAATTTATTTAATAGTGCCAGTTGCCAGATAAAGTCTGCGGAATTAAGCAAAATAAGCTTGACAACATAGATAAGGGAAAGTAAAATATTGGATCACTCAAAAAAGTTGTTCCATTTTTAAACAAAATTTCGTTTCGTAAGGGCGATAAAAAGACTTCTACGAGCATAAGATTTCAAAGCTGCCAGAAAAATTTTCAAGAAGTTTTGTTTACTCTAGATATGAAAAAATCGTCTTCCGTTTTCTCACGAAAGAACAACTTTTCAAACGAACCGATGTATAAACTAACGAGCGCTGTTACCGAAAAAATTTCTTAATAATAATTTTCAAAAACGTTTTGAAATTATTCTAGATTGGCATTTCTATAAAAGAATTTTATATCGACTAATTAGTTACACAGAATTTAGAATGCTGAAGATTTAGTAAGCCAGAATCGAAGAATTGTTTCAATTACCTGCTTCTTACCGCCAGGATGGCTCTGACACCAATGAATCTGACTTTCTGATTCTTCTGAGTAGGCACCAGGAAAGACACATCGAACAGATTCGCGTTCAACGACACGTTCTCTTGATTGTTCAAGAACACTCGCGTGAAGTCCTTAGCGAGCTGGTCGTAATCCGCGAATTGGTCTCTGACCGAGTCTAAAAGCGGCGAGGACGGTCTCATGTGGCCGATTGGTCTCCACGAACCACGCCTAGGGAAATTTCAAATTAATTTATATTACACGGTGACTCACCCGTTTCTTGACACACTTTCAACCCAACAATTTAACGTACAAATCGATCCTTGGCTTGCCTATATTTTCTAACTGTTTCATTCTCTGTATCATAAAATACTTGTGATTTGCTCGTGTTTTCCACATGTGCAGTTACCATATTTCTCATTTGAATCATCATGAAAATTTGCTAGAATTGTGACTACGGATTTTTATGCAAAATGAAAATTCTCTACCTCGATTGCACCAAACAGGAATTAAATAACGATTCGGCTTCGTTCTTAACATTTTTAATAAGTTAAAAATAATATAATAGCTTCGTTAAATTAATCTCTTGCATTCAATGTTTTGTATTCCACTTATGCACTTTCGTCATATCTGCGTAAAATCCGCAGTCTAATTATAAATAACGTACACGTGTTTTCTGTGCCTGACATTTTCGTATTTTAATACGAAGCTTAAAATTCTGTATGAAAAACGATGCGCATAGAAATAATGGGCAGTATTCTGAGAACGAATTTGCCTCGCTGTATGTTTCGGACAAGGTAATTTATTTTCATTTAAAATTGTTAGCAAGTGCTGAAAGTCTAAGTAATGCTAATGGGTTTCGCGAGTGACTCTTCTCGTTTCACGTTCGTGCGTTCTCACCTATACGGCCTCGGAATTTGTCCTGTCTCCACATGGTTAGCCAAATTGGCCACAATGTCCTCCAACATCTGACCTCTCGTCCTTTCCTGCATTCTCGCGAATTTCGGCGCCGAGTAGCTCGCCCTTTCTCCGTTCACGATCTTCGTTAGTATCCACTCGCGGAACATTGGTCCTGCGAACCGAGGAATTTCGAGTGAATTTGCCTGGGACATTTGCCAGGACCTTATCGAAAGAACTGATTAAGCTATTTGCAAATACAATTCCCGATTATATTCGAAATTATATTTGAGTATTATTAACGATGATCTATTCATTCGAACACGAAGACTTTGAGAACGTTATCTATTGAGTATGCAGAATTTTTGTGAAAAAATAAATTATATTATATTATATTGACGAATTATTTCACTGACAGGCTCGTACTACTTTGGAAGTTTTTTTATTCAAAGCTCATTTCTTGGTCACACTCTCAATAAATTTACACACTACTGGCAGAAGTACAAGGTGTCCGATAATTATGTTACGACCCGGAAAGGGGTGGTTACTGAGGTCATCTGAAGTAACTTTTTCCTTAGCGGAAATGCAATCCGCGGCTTTGTTTACGAGTTATTAACGAAAAACAGCGACCAATGAGAGGCGAGATCAGCTGACGTGAGATGAACGAGCCAATGAGCGGAACTGGACTTCGACTGCTCGTTGGCTCGGCCGCCTTGCGCCAGACGAGCTCGCTTCTCATTGTTTTACATTAATAACTCGTAAACAAAGCCGCAGATTGCATTTTCGCTAAGGAAAAAGTTATTTCAAATGACTTGAGGAATCACCCCTTTCCGGGTGTTAACATAATTATAGGACACTCTATATATAGAATGTGCAAATTTTTGCTAGACTTTCAGATGGAAAAATTGAACATTATAGTTATTCACAAACAATTTCACGGAGAGACTCATATTATTTTCGAAGAGTTTTATCCAATACTAAAATAGTTATCAAACTCTCAATAAGTTTGCGTATAAGTACATTTCCGTATAGAGATTGTAACAAAGTTATTTATAGCGCGTGCACAATTTTTACTAGACTCTCAAGGACAAATGGCGAAGCATTAAAAATAGCCGAGACTAACAAGTAATAAAAGTTCGTTCTGTGGATAGTCGGCCGATTTTAAGACATCCATTTAATGCGGCCGCGTGAAATAAAAGTGAAGTTGAGAAAACGTAAAAGATAATGGGTCGAGGAATCATCGTAAAAGCTTCGCTTATTACCTTTCTCGAAGACATTCTGTATCCAGAGGTAGGGCTTATAGGCTCCGACCTCGTCCCTCGTCACAACAGACACCTCGTATCTAGTGATTTTCCCTTTTATGCTCGGGCTGACTCGCACTAGGATGAACGTGTGCAAGAAATGCGATTTTATGCACGCCGGGCTGAACGCAGTATTGTCAGCCTCTAGGAACACGACGCACACTATGTCGTTGCCAATGTGTCGTTTTCTTTGCAGCTGACCAACACATATGAGAAATCAACAGTTAATCTCAACCCTTTCCCCTATTCGATTAAATAAACAATAACGAAATAATTTTTTGTTACACCCGCTACACTTTCCAAATTATTTAACACATGGTTTAGAGAGTATTAAAATCAACTATCCTATATTTCTTTATAGAATTAAGAATAATATGTTTAGTCCCAAGTAATAAATTTATTGAATAAATAGCTCATAAATGTATTGTAATGTATCGTAAATTAAACAATTTATCCCGTAAATCTAGTGCTAATCTTTCATCTTGTAAATGATGTACAAAATGAAGTTACAATTTTTGTTATTTATTTACTCAAGGGAACACTTCAACAATGATTTCAACCTTTATAATATCGTCAAGGACATGACACTTAAATGTCTATCTCTCTTAGTCCCCAGATATTCAAAGTTTAATTGTCAAGTACATGCGATATAAACCTAATTCAAACCTAATCATACAGATTTCAAAGTTCTTGAAGATGTCGATTTTCACGTTAAGTTACGATTTAAACTACGTTAAATAGAAACCGAAAAGATCAGAAAAAAATCACAAGAAAAAATTGTTCACATCTTTGACAACATATGCCAAGATAAGGTCATCGAATCAAACCGGCCTTCCCGAACCAAACAATTAATTTCTCTTCAGTGTGAAAAATGTTTCCTGAAACATTTCTCCCGGATTTCCAGTTAAAATATCAAAGATTCTACCTTCTGGGCGTCGTTCTTCTCATAAGGCAACAGCGTGGAAACGTGGAACATGATCTCGATGTTCCTCCAGTTGGTGTAAACCGAATACAAGCCGGTCAGGTCGTGGATGGTGTCCAGGCCGCCCTTGTACTTGTCGAAGCCCTTCAAACGAACTTTGTCGCCAAGGATTTGCAGGAACTCCTCGAATATCGGCGAGTTCTCGTTGTTATCGAGGATCTGCTCTTCAGTGTACTGACCCTCCTGGACGTAAATCACGCCGACCTTCAGCTCGGACTTGATGAACACTTGGTCCAGCTTGAGCAGCTCCTCCTGGGTGTCCGGTAGCTGGCCGAGAGTCAGGGCTGGCTTCAGGTTCACCTCTTTGCCCAGGCTGCGAACTACCTCCTCTCGATTGTATCTGCGATGGAGACGATCGATTATTCCTGTTATCTGATCCGTGCATCTACCTTTGAAACTCCGGTCTTTGATCTTTTTTTACAGACTGGATCACTGGGCATTCGTGACTCATGAAAATTGTGTTGAATTAGTCACGTAGAAAATAGAATGACACTTCAAAACCTGGACAACGTGTCACGCAATTAATTCCTTAAGAAACGTTGGACAAAGCGTAGCATTTCTCAAGTTAGAAACCTCGCTATAATTTCGCAACGGAGTTTCTTTACAGCTACTCTAAGAACAAAGTGAACATCTTCTAAAACTCCATTGCCTAAAACCGTCGTTCTCAGTATTCGTCGCAGACGTTCCGCGATTTACATCAGAATCCAGCTACAAATCGTGGGTAAACTGTAAGTACCGATCGGCGAAGACGCTGCTGGCAGGGATCAGGCCGTGAACAGTGTAGCTGATGGCCCTGACGAGGATCCTGAACTGATCCCGGTTGTTCAGCGTCTCCTGTTTAATGCTAAGTATCACCGGGCCGAGGTCTTCGTCGTCGGTGAAGTAATTCCAGTGCTGTTTGTTGTAGAAGTACTTCTCGTAGCTTTCCTGCTCGACCGAGGTTAGCTCGAAGCCCTGGTTCTTCTCCCATTCCTCCTCGATGGCGGTCTTCTTCCGGGGTATGTCGTCCGCCTCTATCACCTCACTCTCCGCCACTTCCGGCTCCTCGTAGAAACAATAGCTGTTGTCCTGCCGTCGGAGGTCCTCGTCCGGGTCCAGTTCGCCGCTCTCGCTCCTGTCCAACATCGCGTCGGACAGGATCTGTTGCTTCGAGCACTCGATCCAGTAACCGGGCGTCGGCACCAGGTTGTGAGGGAACTCTTTGCAATTCCCCTCTGCAACGAGAATTGTCCGGGATTAATCCGCGACACTTCCCGCGGGAACATTCGGTATTTAAGAGGACGGTGTAACAAGCCGGAGATCAGGCTTTCGGAATTCTTTTTCCTACGAAACTGTGCAACCTATTCTTTGGAAACGTTTTCGTTGGGTGATCTGTCCAATGAATAAACACCAGTGTCTCTCCCTCTTCGACTACACGTTCACAGATTATAATTAGTTTCACTTCTACTTGAAATCTATCATTTGTATTTTAAGGTGCAACGACACCATTTTGTACAATACCATTCATTGGAATATTACTGTTCATTCATGAACAATTTTTGTCTATTCACTGGTCGTTTAACATATTTTTCTCAAAATCTTGTATTATATTTTTCAAAATAATGTAGATATATCAAGAAATTCTTCGAGTTTATTCAGGTATGTATGAATTAAAATAGCTCGATTACAATAAATTCGTTTTAACAAACAAGTTAACAGAGAAGCATTCATTCACTGGATAGGTCACCCTCGTTACTAATGACATTACTAAAGAGTTACTAAAAAGATATTTCCTTCGATAGAGGAATGTATTGTTTATGGAAAAAAAGGCAATCGTTCGCCACGTTGGTTCGATAGATTGTTGCATCTGAAACTGAAAATTTAAAATAATTCGTTTCCTAGATAGATTTTCGTGAAAACAATGAGAACTAGATGTGTATTACAAATCTGATTGCCAGGTTTGGGTGCGAGATTCCAGATTGGTAGATCGGAAGTATGACGGAACGACCCTCACTGCCTCGCCTCGTGCGGTGCAGTCGGGGGCACTCGGAGAGCTAACGGGTGTCCGTATTGTGTCGCATTTTCTAGCGCGATGCGAATACGGCAGCGAACCGAAATACAATAGGGACACCGTTCAGCTGGCCGAGCGACTCCGAATGGTTCCGACTGCGCCACACGAGGCAAGGCGTAAGGGTCGCCCCGTCATTCTACCTGCCCCCAATCTACCAATCTGGAATCTGGCAACCTAGATTGCAAATCATAATTTCGATAGCTCTACGGATTTCCGAACGAAACTTCCGCGGATCTAATTCTACAGTAAAATACTATCGAATAAAAGTATTGTTGAGAATGGATTAAAGAATCTACTGGTAAATCTAAATTTTTTAGCGCCTGGATGTCTATTGCGTAACTGTGATAGTTTTACGAATTTGCAAAAAAAAAGAAATGTTAAGCGAATATATAGATCAACGGTAGCACTATCAAAAATAAAAATATCCTTGACTCGTTACACGAGGCCTCTTCTTAAAGCTACCCAAAAATTTGATAAAGTTACCTGGGAGATGAGATTCTGCCTCCTCCAATTAGATTGCGGATTCTTACCTTGTACTCTGAGCTATCTTATACACCTAGTTTTACATCTCTTACACCTTTTACATCTTAGAATGCCATAAGCTAAAAGTACCTATTATGGACCGTTTTTCGGGGGATATAAGATTATCGTGTTATTACTGAATATTTATACTACTGTTCGATAGATCGACGTTTCTAGATAACGTAATGAACTTTGCAATACTTTTTAAAATAAATAAAAAACAATAAGTATCATTATTGAAGGAGAAATTTAGGTAGACCACCCTACTGTACAAATGTACATAATATAATTATATTCCATATTACGTTATGTTCTCACAATATGAAAGAGTGTGTTCTTCGCATAAACCTTTTTTTTTACAGTTGATTGTTACATAATAGTAATTTGGTGAGCGAATTTATAAAGAACAATGTTCAGAAATATGGGTAGAATTGTTACAATCCACTTCCCTGTGCACTATCGACTTTTGATTGTACTATCTTTCAAGAAGGGATCACGATTGAGCGGTGTTTCATAATAGGTACTTTCACCTAATTCGCCGCGTCGATTATCGGCTAGTCCTCCCGCGGCGAGAGCAGTACAAACAATCGGAAAGTCTTCGCGCAGCTTCTCGCCGCGTGGGAAGCCAAACAAAGGCGGTTTGGCCGGCTCCACGTGGATGAAATCACTAACGTTGCCTGTCGGTTTGAAATCATTAACGAAGGAATTTGATCCCCGAAGAGGGTCGCACGGTATATACGCATCCGTCACGGAAATAAGAGAGGAAAGAGGACGAGGGAGGTCGACCGCGCGTCTCGCAGACATTTTTCTCCCCGATCACTTAGGCACGTATCGCCGATAATGCGTCGCTCCCTCGATCCACCCTTCCCCGAAGGTCGTTTCTCTTCGTCCTTCGCCTTCCGTCCGCGTTCCGTGTCCTTCGGCAGATTCTCTTCGACTCGTCCGCAACGTTCCCCGTTCTTCCGAATGTCCTCTGGCTTCCGATTCGCGCGTGGACAGTACACGGTCGATTCACTGTAAGGTGGAACACCAAGCTGTTTACAGACAGGCTTGGTATTCGAGCTTATAGTGAACTGGCCGGGGTGCATTCATCCTGGCCGCCCCAAAGTCATCCTTCCGCCACTCTAATCTCGGCCACCTCGCGCTGGAACTAATGGCCTATAGTGCTCCGTAAATTCGATCGTCGATACGCCGGCTACTGCTGCTCCTCCTGTTCCCTCTGCTCCCCAGGCTGGACCCCCCGCTGCTACGGGGAGGATCACGGGACACCCTAAGATGAAATAACACGGAGATCGTGTCGACGATAGGGTCGTCCTCCCGCGAAGTTCGTGAGCAGAAGCGACAATCTTCTGCGGTCCCTTCTCGGTCTTGCTTATTTACAGAGGAGAGTCTTCGGGACCTCTTGCAGGATGAAAGAATCAACCGAGTGTCGACATACAGTCGTAGACAAATACACCGCGTCTCAAAACCATTAATGAAGCATGCCAAATTTGAGGTTGCATCGAAAAACGAAATTTTTCTAAAAAGGGATAAATTTTATCCAGTAAAAAGGAAAGGAAAACACTAGAACCAACACAATGGAATATTTTATTACACAACAATTCAACTGAAAATAAAATGAAATTATAACAAGGATAGAGTATGCGTTTATTAGACGCATATACTATTTTTTATAATCGAGTAGTATCATTATTTTATATATCATCCTGCAAGAAGGCGCCCGATTGTCATTTATACACTAAATCATAAATTAATTACAATCTCTGTAGCTGCAACGAGAGCTTGAATTTGGAACGAAACAATTTCACCCAGCTTTTCCGAATGAATGCACACTGCTTAATCGTTCAAGGAGCAACGTGACAGTAATGCACCTTAATTCGAAGCGAGTGAAACTGTTTAGAAGCGAAGACTGCGAAAACGTTCGATTAATCCGCGAAATGAAGCTTGAAATGGTACAGCATCCGCGAGAAAGCCGGAGTGTTAACGATTTAATGCACAGGAGGATTATTTAAATAAGGTTTCTCTCGGTGCCGTATTCAGGAAGCCCGGCAACTTCTAGGATACTTTAATTTCCGCGGATTAGAGAATGACGATTTCTGGCCGAGCAAACAGAGCCGCTGTTGGAACAACAAGTGACTCGAGACTGCAAAACATGTTTATTTGCTTTACGCGCCTCCGGTCGTTTCGAGTGCCGCGTTATAATTGCGGCCGGTGGCAAATGTATTAGTAGCAGTAAACACGCGTGAAATGAAATTCTCCGCATTTTTATTACCCGGCTTGATTAAAAGTCCTCCCGAGGGGCGGCCGTCCGCGTCAAACTTTTCCATTCGCGTCTCTCGCGAAATATTCGCACGCTTCGCTTGGCAAATGCCCTCAATACTGTTACAGCTCAAAGTTAGACAATCTGCGATTTATTTCGTAACAAATTAATTATGGAACAATGGAAAAAAACTTGCTTTTTTGCATAACTTCCTTCTAAAAATAATCCTGCTTAACTGATCGATGAGCTAGCACCAACATCGGGTCAAAGTTATTTCATAGAACAGTTACACGAAAAATCTTACATCGGTTACACAGATCCGTAGAAAATTGTTATTTTAAGACGACGTAGAAATCAACAATCAGAGTTTGATCAGCAAATCGATGAGCATCGGAAACAGACGCGTAATCGTGTTTCCGTTCAGCTGGATGTTGTTGATTACGTTTCGGAATTACATGCGTGTAGGATGGCAGATAGTGACGTGATAATCGAACGATGATGTAACGCGAATGCGATTAAACTGCATTTAAATTTAATTACAACAATATAACAGCTCGACAGTGACACACGCAACGACGAGTGACGATAAACGTCAGCTTCTGAACGATTAACGAGGTCTGTTCTCACTACACGCCATTTTACCTCTACGAACACTCGCATGATGTGCACACTCCAATTACGCATCTTTCGCTATCGTGTACGCTTTGTAATCGTAGTTGCCCGAAATTCATTGCGACATTTTTATTTTTTACATTTTCTGAAACTCCCGAGACGCAACGCGCGTTCAAACGTATTCTAACAATTAACATTCGTTCAAATCGGGGCTTTGGGCCTTTCTGTAAAATTAAGCAATATTTTAAATTCTTTCGACGTTCCAGTTGTTTTATATTTTACTTATTCAGTCTCATTTCGTATATATCAATCATTGTCAGTAAATAAGTAGGCGTTTCAATCGGTGGATCCTTCATGCGAACCTCCGCTTTTGTAAATTATTATTTTCCAAAACACCGCCATTAAGACAACAACATTCATCTTCGTTTCATTTCTATCTAGTTTCCTAAGTTCCATAAATTTTTAAATGATGCATACGCTGTGTCAAATTTGATGCATCTACATGTTTCAAAAAACATGATCACTGGTACTCGAATTAATAGATTACAAATTCTATGCATTTATAAAAATATAAACGCAAGACATAGAAAATATATAAAAATATATAAAATATAAGAAAATATAGAAAAATATAGAAAATATAGAAAATATAGAAAAATAGAGAAAATATATGAAGATATAGAAAATGTATAAAAATATAAAAAATATATAAAAAGGTAAAAGAATTTCGAAACTTGCATGTAACACTTCTTTCTTTAAACTCAAAAAAATTCAACTTTGCATAGAGATCGTCCTTAGCATAATTACCGACAAAGATGCAAATATTCGAAACAGAGAAAAGCATTCGTTCGTAAACAAAATTTCCAGTCGACAGCAGATAATCGCCGGAAACAGTCGCAGCTCGGTGAAAATACGTGGCGCAGACATTCAGAAATCCGATTCACGCAGGTATCATTCTATCTAGCCGAGGTAGCATTCACGGTTCCATCGTATAGAACCCACGGAGAACCGCGATGGAGGCAAGAGACTCGTAGGAACCACCTGTAGCTTCGGCCCATGCATATGCGCGACTGTAAAAAGTTTCCGCGGCTTTTCCTTCCGGCCTGCTCGGAAACGATGTCGTGCGGGATAGAAGGATTGATCTAATAGATCGCTCGGTGATCCTACCTATACACCCTTGAGGCGGCAACGGGAAGATCAGCGTGTTCGATGATTTTCTTCTCGCAACTGCGCAGCCTAAACTTTGTGGTTTGAAGCTGCGCAACTGCTGCATGAAGTCCGAGCACTCCATCAGCGTCACGTCAGCGAAGTGTAGATCACAAAGTATTTGGTTCTTGAACCTGCGAACCCATTTTCATCAGTGACTTTACGATCAGTTGTTCGAATGTTTTCTTTGTCTTTCATTCGCCTCTTCGACAATTTTACTGTTGTAATAGAAATCCTCAGCATAAAAATCGTTCCGAAATACTGTAGAATCTTTGATCTGTTCGTTTACAGTGGGAAATTGTAAGTGGATTGCGAAGCTTTATGCTTTTCTGCCAAATATAAATCTAAGAGTTAGATTAAAAAGAGTATAAATAACAATCTAAAAAAAACTAGATTGAAAAGGACGTAAACAACAATCTAAAAATTAGATTGAAAAGAGTATAAATAACAATCTAAGAATTCAATTGAAAAGGATATAAATAGAAAAACAAAGAGAGAATGAAACAATTTCTTTTTAAATCAAAATTTAAAAAATATTTAATTTGGTTTTCTTTTGCTAAATCTTACGAAATATTTAGAACGCGAATTCCACGTTGCCCGCGATTGGGAAGTTAAACAGTTCGATGAAAAATATTGTATGCAGGAAAATAACTCTAGGAAAAGCTTCAGTTTGTACCAAGGATTCAAAGTCTATGAATGGAACATTGTTTGCTGATTTAAACTGCAAAGCAAAGTATCCAGCGGTCTTTATGAATTGTATATGAGAGTAGGAATAATTCACAGTAACATTGAGACAAAGTAGACGAATACAAACGTAAGGAAAATTAAAGATGTCCTTAAAGTTCTAAAGATGCGAATCCTCGAACCGTGAAAGCTTGAAAGTCCGAAACAAAGTTTCAGAGGCGAAACCAACGAAAGCTGTCCGCTCGGAAATATTTCAAGAAAGCGATTGAATTCTTAATGACGGTACTTATGTAGAGATAATAGTTTTCGAATTCGTGGAAACATTATCGCAGGGCGAAAACAATCGTCTGCGAAGTTCCATGAAAGTCGAATCCGGTCGATAAAAATTGAATCCGTGGCGTCCCGACGGCGGTCGTTATTGGATCACGCCGACCCTCTTATCTCGTCTATCATCCTTTATTATCCCGGATTCACGCAATACCAATTAAAATCAGTACGATGGGAAAGGAGTGCTTTGAATCACGAGTCGAATAAAATTGTTTTCCAGGCAATTGAGCCGGCTAATGCGTTTACTATCTCCGCTCTCTCTCTTTTCTTCGAATCATTACTCAATTAGGAGATCGATCGAAAAATTGCCGGAACTTTAATCTTTGAGCATCTATTTGGCAATTCGACTAATTGGATCGTTCTGTGGGTCAGGAATTTTGAGAAATAAATTCTGAAGACAAGTAAAATTGGTATGCTATTTTATAAAGTATCTTAAATAATAAAATTGGTATTTTTTCTATCCGTATCAAAATATTGATTCTTTTATCTTGAATGCAATCTCTGTAATCTAAAATTTATTGGACAACTTTATTTTTTAATTATGTGACATCGGGAAGGTTTCAGATCTGCGACTAAAAGCCAATTGAAACGAAAAACACAACACAAAGATTTTTGACAATAACTCAAATATCTAAGAAACAAAAGCTTGACGGTTCCACTTTTAAAAACTCTCATTCTTTTAAAAACGAACATAACAACTCGCTAAAAAATACAGTACATTTCACCCCGCAGCAAAATGGTAGAAAGCTGTTTCAAACCCGGAACCAAATCGAGTTACACTCGATCGCACTCGAGTCGCGCATAAATTTCAGGGCTTCCGCGCCATAGCCACCACGAATCAGCCATTTTACCGCGGTCTTATATGCACGCCGGAACAATAACAACAACAACCACACCGGACGGGGAAAAAAGAGAGGAGTAAAACGGACGCGAAACAAGTTTAATCGCACTGATGGAAATTACTGCAACAGCCAACAGCGTGATGCGCGCTCCGAACTTTACGACTGGGAATGTTTTAACTGATTGAATCGCGGTTGGCAGTGTTCCGTGACGATTCTCCCGGAAAAAACATATTACACTCGGAAATTCACCGGTGAAAATGTCGCGCGAATCATTAAAAATTAACACAGGAAACACATAAAGCCACGGTTTGTTGAGTCTCTTAGTTCGTCGATCTTTACAATCCTCCGAGGGTTTTCGCAACGACTCTGGCGTCTGAAATTCTGTGAAATGAACGTTTACTTTTTGGTTAAAGGTACCCTTATTTTTTGTCATTTTTCCTGAAACGTTAATCCTTTTTATTCGTCGATTTAAAAAGATTTTGAAAAGACTTCGTTTAAGAAGATTATACGCAAGTATAGAAATGACCGCAAAACGCATCCCTCATTTCTTGATTCCTTTGAATTACGTGAATCTTCTTAAACTCGATTTTACAAACTTGATTTTACAAACTCGATTTCATAAACTTGATTTTACGAACTCGATGTAACAAATTCGATTCAACAAACAACATCGAAACCATTAAAATTCTATAAAAATAGCATTCCATTTGATAAAACAAAGAAGAAAAGCATCTGTGCAACACAAAGTAGAACATGTTTCATTTCAGGGTTGGGCAAAATTTTAGTCGAATGATAGATAAATGATAACGAATACAATTTTATTCGACAATATGGAATAAATATCGAGTCGAATGAAAATTTATCTACATAACAATTTATTCGAATACGAAGATATTTCTATGTAAAAACAAAAACAATTATTCGCATTATTATTCAAAGAATTTCACAATTTCTATTGTTACGAACCATTCGAATAATGAATTAAGAATTATTCTTATTCAAATAAAATATACAAGCAAAAAAAAATTCATTCGAATAATTATTTTCGACAAATATTTATATATATATATTCGAAACAATTCGAGCAATGCCCAACTCTGTTTCATTTATATTTGTGCGGCAAAACAAAAATGAATGGACCCGACTTACATTTCGAGGGGAACCATCGAACTACCACACGTACACAGAAAAGTCAAGAATTTTACAGTATCTAGAACTAAGTAACATGTGAATTTTCAGCGGAGGATCGAAAATCCTGCGGAAGAGTAAAAGTTCGAAGGAAATAAAAGGCGGTAACAATAAACCTTTACGATAAGTCTGGCCCGCGAGTAACGTGGTAACGATGGATCGTTACTTTGAGCCTAAAAGGGTTAGGATCGCTTTGCGCGTATAATCGGGAATTTGGTTTCGGATCCGAGGCAACGAGGGCGCAATACAAATGATCCCCATTTTCTCGGGACCGTTCCGCGGAACCGGGATATACATTTATCGCGTAACCGAACCGTGCTGTTTCCTCAATAAATAGGAAATTAAAGCAGCTGCCGGCCGAAATTATGGGTGCCACGGGTGTACCAATGGAATCGGGGACCCGCGTTTATGTAACAGACACCGTTGTGATTCTCTTACTCACCGTCTAGCCTGTTTCTGTTTCGGTCCCGTGAGTTTCAGGCCGCAGACGTTACATTTTAGGCATTCCTCATGGTAGTGATTGTTGTCGTACAACGACGACCGGTCTTGAAACAGTAAATGGGAGGGGATATACAGTGGTAAATATTTCTTTGGGACTGGGATCGCCTCGACTGGATCGGAAGACATTGCCTCTTTTGATAAAGACAATTTGTTTCTCTTGAAAGAACTACGATTTTGTTTTTACATCGCCCTGGTCTCCTTGAACTGCGGATCTCAATCGTATTTATACTTTGCATCGAACGATAGTGGAAACGTTCAAATGATTATTTTATTCCGCGAAGTATCGTATCAAGTTAAACGTTTTAATTAACGCTCCTGTTAAAACATGGTATAAATACGGAAAATCTGCAATCCTATCGTCGTAACTGACAAGGGAAGGGATATTTTTGCAACTGTGCGAGTTTGCTGGCGACCTTAAATGAAGTTTCGAGCTATTTTTCAAAATTATTTTTCTAAAATACAAATTACTTGAAATTATTGCAACGGTGAATTTTTTTATTTAAACAAAACTTTTGTATCCTTTTAATAATATCTCCTTAAAAAGCATACAAATTATTACATTTTTATCGTAACCATTTTTTTTTCACCTTCCATTTCTTTACAGTTTCAAAGATATGCAGATAAATAGGGAAACACACATACATAAGGAGTATTTTCATCCTGAAGAAACGTATTGTGGCAGATAATAAAAATAGAGCTTAAAACATTTTTTAAGGTCCTCAACAAACTTGCATAGTCTCAAAAATGATCGAAATTTTCGGGTTGCCGAACTTCCCTTGTAAAATCGAACGAGAATCCGTTTGCAACTTCGTTTGCAATACATGTGAAAAGGAATCATGTTCTGTTTCATCATAAAAGAAATTTGAAAAGATGACGTTACTTGTTTCGTATAAAACTAATAATTATCTTCGAGGGGTATCGTTATATGTAGCATGAGGTATTGTGTAATTTATACGCATTGTTGTACGAGTAGCAAAAAACGTAGCTTCACATTAAAAAGTAACTGAAAGATACAGGGAAAGTTTGCTCGCCGACGACGCGATGGTGCAACTCCCATCGTAAAATTCTTCTTATGAAGATGAAATGGTTGTTGAAATTCATCGAAACTCCCGGAGAATATGTTCCCGTTGTTTAATCGAAGATTGATCGAAGCTTCGTTTATAGGGTATTAGAACTACCTAATTAAATTTTAATCGGTACTTCACCGAGTGTTTGGCTCCATTAAGCTTCAATTACATCCATAATTCATTCGAATTCAGTGCGCAGCATCTGTCAAAGCTGTCTGGCGCATGTTTAGTTGGCAGCAATTAATTGCGAGTAATTATAAGAAAACATCTCCCGGTGCAATTTCGATAGCAGAAACAACGAAATATTAAAATATTGGAAATCTCTTATACTGTTAATCCCACCGAAGTTGCAATTTAATTGCCATTCCTACATGTGGTATTGACGTTCTTTGATACAGTTTGATGTTGTTTGATGCTATTTGAAAAACTGCGTTCCAGAATAAAGTATCTTCAAGTATATTACAACTATAACTTAATATTATAATATTAATATTAATAATAATATTAATAATAATATTAATTCTATTCTACGTTTTATGTGTCACGAACGAGTTTGATATGGTTTGACAATGTTCGATGAAAATTCTTAATGACTTAGGTATGCAAATTTTGCCGTAATATATTTTTTAAGTTTTTCAGTTGATATCTCGAACTCAACATTCTGAGATATTCAAGTTTTATAAAAAATATCAAGCTGTTCTCCACGTTCATAGCGCATCGAATGGTGAGACAATTTACAGATTATACTACTGTATTTTTCTTACGTTTTGTTATTGACCGTTCCAGTTGTTCGATTGAACAAAATTCGTTCTTTTTCATTTCGTAAACCACAAACATGTCAGAACGTTGAAATTCTCCCTAGAAGACCCGGAGCTCGGAATTGAAAACGGTAATCGCCAGACACTCAGACATGATTCTTCGAGTCTCGCGGCTCGTTTTCATAAAAACTTGAGTCGGCAAAAAAGGCAGCGATCAGCATGCCAGTGTACATTAATATGAATACATAGTAATGCTAGAATAAAACCTGCTAGAATATCCATTTTGTGTTGTCTTCCGGATTGAACCTTGGCATCGACGTAGCAATAAATTACATAGGCGTAGGACTAGCACAAGGAAATTCACAGCGACCCAAAATTTGGCATTTCCGGGAGAAACTACTGTATTAAGGACTACTTATTTATTTATATTAAGAACTACTGCTACATAATCTTCGCAGTAATATCGCCACTTTCAACTAACTTTAACAGAAACAAAGCTATTTTTATGTCACGATTTTATCCAGTACAGCCAAATACAACTGGGGTAAGTCCATACGCCGCCGTAGAATAGTGGAGTAAGTCTACTACCACTATTCAAGATATTTTTACATTCAGATGTGACATGCGGCGTTTTTCCTTGCAACCATAGAATTAAGGAGCTCGATTGATACCTGCAGCTCCAACGGAACAACACGTGGCATCTTCCACACCCGACGCAAACCAGACCGAGTGAAATGGTTCGAACGAACCGGAACACGAAACAGGCTTCTCTCAGGTCCGATTTCCTCCCGTCAGTTATCCCATCGATCAATTCCGCGGCGTCGGCGAGCCATCCCCCTCGACTTCGATCGCCGTTTCCTTCGCGGGCGTCGATCGGCCGCTTTCCACCCCCGTTTTCCCCGTGTTTTATACTTAACGACCCCTCGTGTCTTCGAGGGGTGTGGTCTCTGCTCTGTCTCTCTCTTTTTACTCTCTTTCTCGTGACGCCGTAGCCACCATAAAGAATTCCAGCGCGTGCCGGCCACGGAATTTTGATATCGCGGTCTTTCGTGACCGTTCTCTGGAGCCGTCTAATTGCAAGCACGCACGCACGCACGCACCCACGCACGTGCCCGTACCATACTAACGCCGCTATCAGATACGTCGCCGCCCTCGACATGAATTATCGGTCTCATAGCCTGTCCACTTACTGGCGGCCTGATAGTTCGCCGTTCATAAGGCGGAACGGCGCGGCGTAAAGCCTCGTTCACATTAGTCAAGTTGTTTGACTTCGTGCCTCTCGAGACCAGGCTTGGGCGTTCTTCAAATAAATTATTTGAAAAATAATATGTCGTCGCATCGGGCAGCGCGTTACTTGGGACAACTGTGCATCTCGTATCGTTTGAACGAACAAGTAATCCTAGATTATTTTGGAATAATTATTCAGGTTACTTTTCACTCGAATAAACACGTCGAAAGATAAAACATTTTACTCTTTTGTTTCGCTCTTCGTTCGGCAGCATCCTGAACTGCGATTCTAGATTCCGATAATTTATTTAATTAAATCTGGAATTTATTTGGAGTAATTATTCAGTTTCACTTTCATTTGATCGAACACATTGATACGTAGACTGCGGATTTTTGTGGAAAATAAAGACTACCTGAATCAATTGCAAGAAATAAAAACTAGATATCAAGTTTATTCGTTCTTAAATCATTTCAGTGCATTAAAAATAATACATTGACATTGTAACTCCCCAATTTTGCCATAAATGCAACAAATTCGCAGTCTATTGATAAGAAAAAACTGAAACACTTTTTATTTCTGTCATGGCACCATTCTCAACTGCATCTGAAACTATTGGAGCAAGAACCATGTATGGTAAAATATATAAACGTTAACCTTCATCGAAATTAACTAGATAGGTTAATCAATAAATAAGACTTAAAATGATACCAAAACAGATTTATATGTAGTAGAAGCTTTTCTCCCGCAAGAATTGATTGTTCTCCTGTTTAAACATCCTGACAATGGCTTAACTAAAATCTTAATTGATTTCATTATTAAAATGTAGATCTTCATGCAATTAATATATTAAAAATATGCCGCCATCCCTCTAACGTCTTTCCACCCTTTCAAAATGCATAAAATCCTTCGCCAATCATAAGAGGAAACAAAGAATTTGTAGCATTTTCAATAACCGAATAGAAGGAAGCGCCAATTCAAACGTATGTCAAGGGTCAAACGAGCAATTAATATATCCAGATCGTCGTAACAAGGTCTTCGCACGGAATAACATTAGAATGAATTTTCTTTCCAACAGTCTACACAGTGACAGCTGGAATGAATATGTTATTCTTCATTGAATTACGGGATGTTTAATGTACCGAGCAAGAAATAATTGCTGGGAACGAGAGAAATGTATATCCCGAGAATTCGACCTGTACGACCACGATCATTCCCGAGTTATAAGTTCCGAACACGGAAAGAAAGTTCCATCGTCCTCGACCTCGTCCGAGACTTTCATCGCGCATTGTTCAACAGAGCGCGCGCCGGCACAAAAAGCCGGGGAATAATCGTAATTTCCCTTGACGACGTGTTTATTGCGTCGCGGACTCTTTGCGGGAAATAAATAAGAAAAGTTGTCTCGTTGGAGCTGTCGAAAACCGGTGGCCGTAGAGCACCATTTTAATGAACGAAAATGAAATAGGGAACGGAGAATGAAGGTTTCTATTAAACAAGACCCGACGCTATGTTATTAAAACGAAATCAATTACGTAAAAAATATCCCTGTCTAGAAGAGAACGCCGAACAGATATAAAGACGCCAGGATTTTATCTACATATATTCTGTCTGTATGCGCCTTGAAAGGCCAAAGGCGGCAATATGTGGAAGATCGACTGCCATTAGAGTCTGGGAAATGAGTTTCTCTCTAGACATCGTTGATTTAGTTAAAGAATCCAATATCCACTAGCTTAATAATGATACAAACATGTTATTAATCGTCTTTGTCGCAGAAATAATGTTAACACCTTTATTATTTTTAAATAATAATCAAGATGAAATTAAAGAGACGTAATTTAAACAGATTTTAGTTTCGTAGAAATCAATTTGTACGATATCTCTCAAGCCATCAAATTAGTTAATTATGTAGTAAATAGAAGCCCGCACCTTTTATCAATTACATTAACTCGTCAACATTAATCTGCGAATGCATAATATCAAATTTAATCTTATTT